ATACTGTCCATCTGCGGGACCAACGCTAGCCAAACGAAAATTCCAGTGCCAGTCCTCAGGGACCGACGCTGAGCTCAGCATGTTAACAAAAGGCAGTAACTTTGCTTTAATATAGAGAGATAATTTTTAAGGGAATGCATTTAGTTATAATTCAATTAGGTACTAGAAAACCTTAGTCATTATGGATTTAGATGGCCACTATTAAATTAAATTTATTTTTTTAATAATATTTGTTAAAAAACCTATTAATATCACAATCTCATAAAATTTCCCAGTTTAAAATACATCCAATTTATGACATTGATTTTTAAACAATATTAGGATAATTACACATTAAAAGCTACAAAACATAAAACTCAAACAAAATAATTATGCAACTTTTTAATTTGAAGGCCTGCCCAGACATTTTGGCTAATTTATATCGATTTCCTTCTCCTAAGCATGTTTTCTAACAAATATATGCAAAACAATGTTCTCATTAATTTCTGCGTGTTTTATCTCCTAACTGCCAACCTCTCGACAATGTACTAGCTATGAGGGTTTACTTGATCTGGTAGAAATAGTCTGACCCGATCCCTCCCCCGCAATCGTGAAACAAATTATCACTATGTCTGAAAGTAACTATAAATCAGATAATAAATTTAAATAAAGGTTTAAATAAGCTTCTTATTCAAAAAGAACTTGGAACATATAGGCATGTTCTTATGCTAACAAAATCAATCACAGTTTGTGGTGATATAATTAAACAAGAAGAGTCAAACTAAAAATATGGACTAGTGATCAAAGACTATACAATTTAATTTGGTTCAATAACTCTATTGTCATAATAAACTCAAATGTCAGCAGCAGTAATGGAAAGACTAATAATTACAAATTATCAGAGCTGACAGGAACTAATGCAGGGGGTAAGTGGAGGTCAGAAACACACTCGTCTTACACTCCAAAAACCTCAGTTTAAAACCTGTCTAAGTGATTTGCATCCTGGTGAGGAAATAGAAATGGGAAATTATAGTAAAGGCTGAAACTGTAAACAGCTGGGTAATTTACACAATAATAACTGTACATATCTTTGAAGAATAATTTTCTTTCTCTTTACATATTTAGTTTCTTTTTTCAACACGTTTCCTTTTCACTTTAAATTTTTGGGATTTAATTAGACTTCTGTTATTCTAAAAAAACTAAATGCATTTAGAATGTATGGAAAAAGCTGCTAATTTTATTTTAGTAATACGAACATTCAGAATATCAAATACATGAATAAATATTCAGAATATGGTAAGGGTCTGGTCACAGAGCTGGTGTGGCATAATTTTTAGAATTTAGGGACACACTGAGCAAAAAAGTCTAAAAATGGCAAAACTTTTAGAATTTAGAGAAGCCATTGGAAGCAAAATTTAGAAAGGCACCAGGCAGCAGAATTTAGGATCCACAGAGACCGTGTCAGGGGACAAAATGCCTAGCGCCAGCTCTGTGTATGAAGCATTAAGACATATTAGATGAATCTTTTGAATTGTCAGTTTTCAATTTCTTTATTAATAAGAAAATTCCTTTCTATAATGCCTATCCATATGATATAATCTTATCATATCTTATTATAAGTATTTTTGATATCTTCCATGCTTGTATCTAGTGAAAAGTAGACAAAAATATAATAATAAAAATAAAAGATAAAAATATTAAGAAAGCGATTTTAGAATCAGAAGTAAAACATTCAACTATTATGTTTTCATTGTTCTTCCAGATGTTCTCCAAAATGTAAAAGACTGTGTGTTACTACCATGGAGACAGTTTTCAATTTGTCACATTTTTCTGGAATTTTTTTAGAATCGTGGGTCTATAAATTTGCCTTAAAATTTTTCTAAACTTTCCAAGCTTCAATGTCTAAAATTCTAAAGAAAAATTACCCCTACCAATTCTGTAACAGCAAAAAGTCAAAAATGTTTTTTAAAAAAATCGGAAGAAAAAACTGTGAAATTAATTTTATAGAGAAAACTGATGCATATTCTGAGAATTCTGATCTTTCTGAGAAATGGGAAAAATTCTTACCATGAAAAAATTTAAAAGACATTTTTAATTAATTACATAGGTATTTTGGTTTTGCTAAAAACTGTTTCGTAAACTTTGCTTTATAGCATTATTCCTTCTTTATTTTTCAGATTCAAAAAAATTGTATAATATGTGGCTAAAATGGAACTTTATAATATGACAGTGAAAATAAAAATGCTTTATTTTAATGTTATTTTTTAAATATAATTTCAATATATTACCATTATTTGAATGAAATTTATCAATGTTAGAATGTTCTAAAAAAATCGTCAAAAAATTCCCAGATCTCGGAATTAAAAATTTTCTATAGAAACCAATCTTAAGATCGCCAAATTTAGAACCACTTAATAAAAGAAGTCACATCCCCAAAAGCAGAAAGTTGTTTGAGAGCTCTTCATTACAAAAAATAAAATAATTTTGAAATTCTTATGTTTCACTTCTTGCTCAGACACTCGAGTATCACACCATTATTTATACAGTCAAAGTCTTTAATCCGAACGTCTGTAATCCGGACCTCAAAGCTACAAACTTTCTGCGCATGCATTTACACATGCGCATAATACCTTTACGCATGCGCGTTTAATGTATAACGGACGGTATAAGCTAGGCTAAAATCATCTAATTATCTATTTCAGTTAATGTTGCAGATTGTGCTGTTCCTTAATCTTCTAATTGGATCCGGCTTATTATTTTTTGCACACTGTTAGAGCAATTTTATAAAAATTACGCTTGAACTTTCGATTATGTCAAAAAGAATTTCTGATTCTGGAGCTACCAAAGGATCTACAAAGCGAAAGCACGTTTCGATATCCATCAGACAAAAAGTGGAATTGCTGCAAAAAATGGATAAAGGCATGTCCTGTTTCTCTAACCATTCCGAAATCTGTTTATCAATTTCATGCTGCTCTGCGGGAGGGGGGAGGAATGTTGCGGCGCGCAATGAACTGGAAGTTGATCTGTCAGCACTATCCTTATCTTCAGGGCAGATGTTTTTATTTTACTCGGCTTATAATTCCTTACTAAATGTAGTATTTCATCTCGATGTACTCCGTCTTTGATATGATTTAAATCAAATTTCGCATCATTATAAATATCATGATTACATATCAAATAGTTTTCTGGTTGCAATTTTCTAATTTCGACTATGCGTAATGTATGCTTTACGCAAGCGTGCATTGAAAGAAATGTTTAATAAAGTAAACAAATAAATATAAATCTCTTTTTTTTTTTTTTTTTTTTTTTAAAAACATTTGTAAAAACGAAGTAAAACTTAAAAAAAACAACTTACATTGAAAGAAATGTTTAATAAAGTAAACAAATAAATATTAAGCTTTTTTTTGTAAATTTTTGATACCCTTTTCAATTAAATTCTTGCTCTTTATGTCATAAATAACGGTTTTACATTTTTAATTTTATAATTTCTGCATGCCATCTTACCGATTTAAACTGATGAGTCAGGAACAAATTATAACTCATGAACCCATTTAAAAAATAGCCATATTTGTCAGTGAATTGTCAAAAATATTCCTGCAAAATGCTACTTCAATCCCAAAATGGCAGTCGTAAAAACAGACAGAAATGTCAGATGATTAAAATTAAGCACCTTCTGCCGATTTTGGTCGAAATTAAGGACTTTTAAGGACCAAAAATCAATTCCAAAAAACTTAAGGACCGTACAAACCCTGTGAAACTAGCTCTCAATTTGCTTTGTTAGTTATAGACAGAGATAATGTACTACTACTAGGCTGTGGATATTTTCTAGCAACTCATGCTATGGTACAAGGTGGGCCACAAATAAGCAGTCCACCTTCAATACCAATGTCATGCTCTTTGGAGAAGATTATAGCTCCTTGCTGCCTGTGGACTGTCTGTTAGTCTGGCAATTTGGTATCACTAAATAAAGCATCTTTATCTTGTTTTCTTATTCATTCTTCCTGTGCACCACACATCAGAAAGGTGTCCCTTTTTACTTCCTTGTACAAAGTACAGGAAGTACTGTAATTGTGAAAATTTCATATTTCAATGAAAATATCCATTTTGGCCACTACTGAATGCAATTTAACAATGTTTTTGTGTGATATCTGCACGTAAAGACAGAATAAAGGACTCTTTCCAAAAACAGTTTGTAAAAAGGATTTAAAATGGATTCAAAAGAGAAATTTTCGTGACGTCTGTTCGTACATGCGTGTGTATGTATGTATCTCGCATAACTCAAGAACGAGTAGCCGCAGAACGTTGAAATTTTGTATATAGGACTGCTATAACATGTAGTTGCACACCTCCCTTTTTAGGTGCAACCGGCCACACCAGAAGTGTATATATATATATATACAATCGACAATACCAGAAGTGTATACATATGTATACTTACTCGGCTCTGTGAGCTCATTTTTTATTGTTATATGTTAGTAAATTGTGCATTTTTTGCTTTAGCAATGATTGAATTATGTTGCTCTTATCTTCCAGTTAAGGTTTTCATGCCTTTAGTTAATCTGCATGCAATAGTTGCAGAATTATCAACAAATTAAAAGTTGTTTAAGTGCAGTTAAGCCTATTTTTTTTTTTTTTTTTTTTTTTTTTTTTTACCATAGGGCCATGTTTGTTTACATTTGAAACTTAGCAAAATGGTGGATTAAGTCAGTTTTTGCACCTTCAGTTTCTTTTTGCCAAATGGGACCAAAAGTAAACTTTCAATTCTGGGCACTAAAAAATCTACCTTCTTGCCTGCTGGCCGAATTGCTTGTTTTTGTGCAGAAACTTTAATTTTACTTGCAAAAACATAAAAACATTTTTTTCTTAATTGTTTAAACTGTATTTGGTGTTTTATATTTTTCTATATTTTTAAATTTCTAATAAAGATATTTTAAGGTTTTATATATTGAAAAAAAAATCACTTCTTAAAATTAAGATTTATCAAAATAGAGATTAAAAGAATAATGATTAATATTAATTACCACAGTATCCAAAGGTTGCGGACGCCACTTGCTTTTATTCCGGCTCTTTATATCAACAACACGAGCAGTGGGTTCCTAAACAATAAAATCTACTAAAATAATGCTTAAGAATATATGTAAATCTTTTAGTAAATAAGATTAATGAAAAATATAATTTAAAAAACAAGAAGTCAAATATTTTAATTTTATAACTACCTCTAAGCACATCTGATAAAGGACAAGACATGCTGTATGATCAAACAGACGCCCTCGCTTCCAGCTGAACTCAGTAACAGTGTCATCCTTTTTATGTGTTACTAAAAAGAAATACTTTATTACATTGGCCCTATATAGATTTTTGTTTTCTTATAAAATTTCTTATCACTTGTTATTAATGTCATCATTTTTATGCATTACTAAAAAGAAACATTTCATTACATTGGCCTAGAGACAATACAACCAGATTTAATGCTATTATATACATAAATAATAACACATTATTTGCTAATAAAAGTACAAGCGCAGGCAATACAAGTGAATTTAATTAGTATAAAGTATACATTATACATTGAAATAATTTTAATATGTAATATGCACAACTAATCTTTCACTAGATGCAGTTCATTGACTCAATTTTTTTTTTTTTTTTTATTTCTAGTTGCAAGGCAAAATACAAGAAGTTCAAGAACAGAGCATAACAGAAGTGAAAGAAACTGCCTTAGACAATCTCTGGCATGGAAATATTGGGTGGCCTCGATGTCATATAACCAAGAAGAGCTCTGTTCATGGATTTCATAAAATCACAGACTGGGCAAAATGGTTGGCAATTCGGTAAAGATGTTTGCCCGGGCAATCATGGCCTGTAAGTAGCCAGTAAAGAGCCACAGCATTATGTCATGGATATTCTGGCAGGCAAGCAATATCTTCAGCCTCCCATTGTTTCGTCATAATGTTATCCAGCAACAATTTCAACTGATGTCTTTGTTTCATAGACTGTTTTATGTTTAGCTTTATTGAGTGATATGACATATTTGAGTTTGTTGATTGTAATAATGATACATCTTTTCATGCAAGGAAATCCGCTTGTTCACTTCTGTAGATTCCACCGCTGTGTCCAGTGATCCATTATATTCTAATTTTGCTATTTTTCTGCAATAGGCTTCGGATTAATTCACAGCACTGAAGGACTTCTGTTGATACAAGAGTTTCTAAGGAACCAATGTCTTGAATTGCTGCTCTTGAATGCAGGACTGCATTCTTGAATTCAAAATGCAATGTCAATAATTGTTTCAAGTACAACTTTTGGGGTACATCATATAATTAACTTATTAGCTGTGGTGCTTACCTCCACTTGCTTCCAGATGCTTTAGCTTACCTCCAAGTGGTGTAACCTTGGCAGTATTCACCAGCAGAATGGTCTATACTTTCAGCAAGTTTCATAGATGTTTATCTCACCCATGAAGATATTCAATTTAAAAATAAATGCAAATATTTCACACACATAATATATATAACTCATTTGAATTTGTAATGAAATTACTACTAACTCACTACTACAAAATGGTCAATCAAAGCATATATAGCTATATACTTTTTGTTATTTTCTTTGTTTAGATATAAAATAAAAGAAAACATTTTAAGATATCTTCCTGCCTTTTCCACTGTAGAAACAAACTCAGCTAATTTGGTTCTCCAACCTGGTATAGAACACCGTGTTTATATGTAATTTAATGGTACTTACATTTAATCCTTTACACCATGAGACTCTCACCAAGCAGCTGATTTAGCAGCAGTTATGGATAAGCATGACATCACAACGTAATGATAATATCTGCACATTCATTTCATGTAACTCTGGTTGATTCTCAATAAGCCACTTTTTATTGAGCAAAAATATTTTATTTCTTGCATTTTGGAAAACATGAGTACAATGACTGTAAAATCACAGTTGTGACAGCACTCTGGTTTATTTATAGTTGGTCGAGAGAAGAAACATCTGGTTGAACAGGAAAATGAACAGCTGAATATGACTGACAAAAAGTAATAAATAAGAACAACCATCTATGGGAAGTTTGTACTCGCAGCATTTGAAACAGCCCTTCCAATAAAATTGGAGGGTCTAACAAAATGGTAGAAATTGGTGAACGTCTTTTTACAAAGCGCAAAAACGAAATGGTTCAAATACTTCTGCAGCAAATGCTATTTGATAAATTGAGCAGAGAGACTGACAAATGTGTCAGAATTGCAGCTCAGAATTAAACAGAAACGTCTGATGCAACTTTGGCAGGATCTTAGCCAATTTTTCCGGTCAATGAGATAATACATCAGTATACAATTTGCATAGCCCCGTCCGACACACACCCTCAAAATAAATAAATAAATAAATAAAATGCAAAGAAACACTAATACAAATGGTCAATCAATGCATTTTAACCAAACACTAATGCCTGTTCACCTAACTATTAAAACTAGTTTCCAAAATTTGCTCACTTTGATTATCTGACTAACAGACTAAAAACAGAACATCAAAATGTTATATATTTATACTATTCCATTTTTATTCTTAAAATTACTTTTTTTAATAAATCTGAAACTCACCTTTAAGTTTCCAGAAAGGTTCTGGTATAAATGCTTGAACTTGTTTATATCTTTCAACAACAAATCCTAAAGTCGGAAACTGACAGCTACCATAGCTAATAAGTTGATTGCCAAGAATATCAGGAAATACTTTCTTCAGCCTCAGAGTTTGAAACCTGGTAAATGCTGCTCCTAAAAGTTTAATCGATAAATATTTTATGCAAGTTCCTTTCTACAAATAAATAAATAGACATTCACAGATTGAATAAAAAAGTTTTTTAATTATCAAATCAATCTAAAATTGTCAGACAATTTTCTAATATTTTAGAGGGAAATTTATCATTGAATAATATCTAACATTAATTGCATTAGCCATCAATCTACCATAAGTTAATACCTACCACTGCCATCTACCGAAATGAAATCTTTTGACAAAACTGCATTTCCAGCATTGTCCTATACTTTTTTAAAAGCAAAATTATATAATTATGAAAATAATGAAATACATATAATTATTTAAATAAAATTTTAAACGAAAGCAAAAAGAAATATACATAGAAAATGCTGTTATTTTGTATGTCAAGCACACAAAGAAGAGAAAAATTTTGCAATGAGCATGTAGTATTGGAATCTATTTTTACCAACAGTACAAAGTAATGGGTTTTTCAAAATGCTACGAAGAAATATAAGTAAAATTATGAAGAAAAAAAAACACTTTTATAATAATGAAAATAAATGAAAAGCCTCAATCTTATTTCTTAGTAAAAATTTTGTACAGAAAGAAAGCTGCTGAATGAAATTATTTGAGATGTTAACAAGAGCATTATTTTTAAAGCAATGACCATTCAGGAATGGTACACCTCGCACAAAAACAAAAAGGTGGGCAGTTCTATATCTCCCGTTCTATTGGACTAATTGTTGAAATTGTTCTATCATAGGTATTTTGACATAAAATCATACTTTGTCTGAAATAACATACAATTTTTTTTCCATATTCGGTTCTACGGCTCAAATTATGCCAAAGTGCCAAGTTCTGCAAAAATTGCACAAGTAGTTTTTAAAAAATTAGCTCTTAAACCCTCGATGTTAATTGAATTTGGTATATATTTATTAATACCTCTTTTTTTTTATTAAACTTATTTCATTCTTCCTTTCACATTTTAAAATTTAGCTTCATTCCAAATAAAATCCACCTATTTTTCATGATTTACTTTTAAAATTTATAATTTTTATAAATTTTTCAAAACAGTTTTTGTAGTATAACTTATAAAATTTTTACCATCATCTTAAAATAGATGTATTTCTAAGCATACCTGAAAAAAATTAGAGTTTTTTATTCAAAATTTCCTAAGATATATGTGAATTTACATATTGGCACGTTTTGAAATTTGGCATATTTGTTATAAGCAATAATAATGCAAAGTATGGTTTTACACACTTTATTAAACGTATTTGACAGTAATGAATGATGACCTTTTTTCCGCTCATGTACAATGAAAAAAAGGAAAGGAAAATAGGTTCCTAAATGTGCCAAATAAATTTTAAAATGTTTCCATAAATTTCTCATCAAAAATTAAAAATTTAATATCTAGGTATAATTTGAGTCATACAATCACAATATGAAAAAAAAATTGGTATGTTATTTCAGAAAAATTCTGATTTTGTGTAAAAATACCTATGTTAGAACAATGCTATATAAAAATCTAAACCATATCCTAAGCTGCATCTTCGAGATAGGAAAATGCAAATTAAATGTCGACAATCAGTCCAATAGATTTTTGCATAGTACATAGTACATTTTTGGCACGGTTTTTTGCAATGTCAAGGTAAGATGATTAATACAGCTTAAAACAAAGGGTATTTTCTGATCAGCTGTACCATTAAATCAACTAGTTGATGATTTAGTTAATTGTTTGGCAAATTTTGACTCATAAATATATTTTTTCTTAAATGATAAAAAAGAGGCATTTAACAAGAAAGAAATTTATAAGAAAAAAAATCCATATATGGCTGATATTTACATCTCTGCAGACAGTTTAATTATTCAGCAAAATGAGGGTTAAATTTAAAGCACAGTAAACCATTGCTGAATGTGGGCGTTATGTCATTAATACATTGTGCAAACAGCAAAATCTTGTTCATCATAATTTATCATAAAATCTTTATACTGTTTTCCTAATTCCTGATTATTTTTTAATTTTCATTCCATGGAACTCAAACCTAGAAACTGGTACCAGTTTTGAATCAACTAACATTAGCTTCATTTTATAAAATGGAAGTTTTACAACAAATCGCCCATCTGATTTAAAAGAATAGGTGTTTTGAAAATGTGATTCACAAAATTGTTCTTCAGGTATAAGAAAATAATTTTTTCAAACCTCAACAACTTCCTCCATTTCCCAGAAATGCTTAAGTTCATAATAAATATTTAAATTACCTTCCAGCTTTATGAAGTGCGAATTATCTGTTTTTGGACCTTTTATATCAGTTCTAACTTTTTCAGCAATCACCCAAATTAAAATCGTATTTTAAGCTACAGATTCCTTTTTCAAACCATATATCTGACTGCACCTTAGATCAGAGAAAAAATAATCATCTAAAATTGAATCAATTTGTTTGGAGTAAACAAAATTTGAATCCACTGATGGAATAGATTTGATATACTGTATATTCCGGTGTATAACACACACTTTTAATACAAAAAAATAAGATCAAAGTTTATAAGTGCACATTATATGCCAGATATAAAAATGATAAATTTAAAAATACAAGCATACAGATATTAGATTTCTACATGTACCTAAATGCTGTTTGTTTAAAAGAAATGACACAGCTTATGAACTTCAAAATTTTCATTAATGCATAATTTTTTAATAATCGGATAATTTCCTTCAAGTAAAGTATATTAATTATTGTGCATCAATTTAGATAAAACATCAGACTCCTAATTTCGCAAATTCATTTGGGTTAGAAGTGCCTTCTTATCCGAAATGATGTCTCTTTTCTCAAAATCCAAGAATAACACTCTTGTGCACACCTGCATTGACCACCATCCACCACCTTTGCGATATTATTTACTCTCTCAAGAATTTTCCCTACCTGCATATTGTTACGCGTATTGCTAGTCTTTTCAGTATACCATTTTTTCAAAGTCTGAGAAAAATCTTCAAACGAATGATTTTGCACTTGTGTCTCTCGGGTTTCTTTTTAAAGAAAAGAGTGCGCATTATATGGCAAAAATACCTAAAAATTTTTAAATATACTCTGAAATTATAGGTGTGCATTATACATTAACATCAATTATATTATTAACATCAATTATATTGATCCAGTTTTTAAACTAATGGAGATTGAACTAATGGAGATTTTTAAACTAATGGAGATCATGAGTATTGGTAAATGGCCCTCCGCCAATTCTGCAACAGGGTTCATAGCCACATTTTAGTTAAAAAAATAAGCACCTATAAGCACTTTTCAAGCACATTTTAAGAAAAAAAAATAAATAAATAAAAAAATAAGCACCTGTCTAATTTCATTATACACAACTGCATAACCTTAATTAGACTTGTAATTTAAAATAGGAAAAATGCAGTATTTATTAAGAGAGAATAAGCATTACCTCAACCATGGAAAATAATTACTTTTTTTTTTTTTAATTTTAAATAACAGTTCAATTTACAGAACTAGTTTACAATGAGAGAAAAAAAAACTATGCAGAAGTAAACTATATTACAAAATTTTAATGATGAAATTTCAGTTGAAAATAGAGAAAATAAATAATAATAAGGTATTCGCTTGGAACCTAATAATAAATACAATTTATTTTTCCACTCATATTGATATTTAAATAATTTAAATCTAAATTCTGAACATTTTCTAAATTTTCATTGTATATCAGTTTTCCCTTAACAGGTATTGCAAGCAAAGTAATTTAAGTAAAAAAAGAGGAACATTTCTGAAATCAGAAGACAAAAATTTGCTTCATGCAGTCATCCTTTAACAGTAAAAGCTTAACTAACCCACATACTTGGAAATTGGCGAATATTCGGACAGTCGAGCGTAACTTGAAAAAGAGGATAGGAGGGTGGAGGGTAGACTGAAGCCGCTCTTTAGATTTTTCCGCTAAATAAATGCTTTTGACATTTCGATATGTGCATCACACAAAAATAAACCAATGGAATTGAAAAATATTCTGCTTAGCAAACACAGTAAAATACTTTTAAGTGTTCATAAACAAATCTCGGAAGAACATCAAAATTAATTATCTCTGCAAAATATCGCAAACGTTATTGCGCGATACGTGTGCCGTAATTCTTCCCTACGTGATGTTACGCAATCGGAATCAACAGCTCCCGGCATTGGGAGAATAAAGAACTAAATAATTGGGGTGTTTTTCATTCTAATTTTCAATAGACGGTGTTAAATTTCTGGAATAGAATCATTCTTTGCTTGGTAGACCACAGAACTTTTAGTCCTATTCAATCCGGATTGGAAAGTGACAAAAAAAAAAAAAAGTCTGTTTCTCGTTTTGCAACGAACTGTAACAGTTCCAATATTCGAGATTTTGCGAAGAAAAGGGAGAACCTCCCAATCTTCGTACTGTATAATGTTTTGGTCAAAAAAATGAAATTATTTTGACTATTCAATTACTTTCCCTTTATTTAAGGCATTCCGAATATTATTCCTTAGAAAGCTAATCTGTGTTAAAACACAACCATTTTTGGAAGTTTACTATACTTTAGTTACTGCAACTATGTTATTATAAACATTCATACATATGCTCATAATATAAGCATTATGATCATAATATACACGAATATGAACTGAACAAGCGGAACGAGAACGCAAATTATTAAGATCTTGATAGAAATTCAAACGTGTGTAGTATTTGGGTGGGAGGAAAAGAATGCTGATTGTACCGGAATTTTCTACTGCTTTCGCAATTCTTTGACCGATAGAACGACGGGCACCTGTCTGTACTCTTTGTGCACACCACAGGTTATGTTAATGCAGAGAAAGGAGGAAAAGCTATTTCCGGGAGTATGATTCACCATCTGACATTTCATATTAGGAAGAAAAGTTGTTTTAGTTTCGGCTTTGGTACGGAAAAGGAAAAAAAATAGCGCGTTCATAAAAAAAAGAGGACTAAAAGCAAAAAATAAGCACTAAAAACAAAAAAATAAGGGCTTTAAAGAAAAAGTAAGCACCTATAAGGGCCTTTATATTTTATTTTCAAATATAAGGACTTATAAGCACTTATAAGGACCGCTACGAACCCTGTACAAAGAAGTAACTGATGATTTTTTTCGTTTCAATCCGGAACTTCTGAACAGCTTATTCAGAAATAAACGAAGATTCACTCCCTGAAGAAATTTAATTTCGATAGTTTTGCCGCTCGAAGAAACTACAAGTGTGGGAACCATAGATAGAATCACTGAATTGCAATTTTGAACAGTATTACTCACAACATGATCTTGACCCTTGCATTAGTCATTCAAAATTACAAAGTACTTGTACTTTCATTTTCAACTGTCCCTTTTAAAAGCTGTACTTTGTTAGCCTAAGATCTTCATGCAACAAATTATTATTTGCTTTCTAATTATACAAATTACACTTCAACTGAGGCGCCCACCAGCGGCCGAGCGGTAAAGTCGCTGAACACTGGTAGTTCGGTCCGAGGTTCGAATCCCGCGAATGGGCTGGCTGCATGGGTGTTTTTGTGGTTTTCCCCATGTGTAACGTGTATACGAGCCAGTCCTCCGTGAAAGCATCCCTCCCCTTAGGCAGATAGCCCTCGAGGCTTTGCCATAATTAAATTACCTAACCTAACCTAACCACTTCAACTGAGAATTAGTTTTTGATGCAATATGACTTTAAACATAAAAAACACAATCCTTGTTTTCTCTTGGAGAAACAGGAAGTTTAGAAGTTGTGAAGTTTTTCCTGCTGTCACATCCAAATTCTTAAATTTAATACATTTACCTAAAGCATGACTTCTGCTACCTTTTGGACATTTAGTATTACTAAATTTGGAATTCTGTGATGTTTTACATTTAACATTACTATTTTTTAAACAATTTTAGTTTCTGCTTCTTTATTTATATATCTCTCGAGAGAAGAACATCTTAAAATTTAAAAATTCAAAAATTGATTCCAATCTTCTGTTGTTTTCTGTGCCCATAGCTTTGGAGTTTTTAAATTTACTTTTTGAAGCAGCATAAATGCTAACCATGGATTACTAGAAGTTGCTTTGTCACCAAGAGCTTTTAGTCTCTAATAACTTCATCCGAAACATCAGCTAATTGCCGTAAATTAACATGATCTATCTGTGAAATATATTTTTTATCCAAAAATGTTTTATTAACGATTGTACAATTTGTTTCTTTTTATTGTACTTTCTTTTTATTGTACTTATTTACTAATTTCACACATGCTCCTTCATAAGAATTATTTGATAATGGAATATGTTTAATTATAGAAGCCAGTTCATCAGCAAAAGATCCAATTAAATACTGAAATTTCTAAATATTCAATAAGAAAGTATTATGCCCTGTTGCAGCAAATAAATCCTTAAAATTGATCCAATCATTAAAGATACCCAAAAGAATAGAAATATTCAACTTTGGTAACTTAAAGTTACTAGTATTGGAATTTTCATGAGCATTTGGTACATTAGCCACATTCAATGAATCTAACAAGTTTTGACTTAAATAAAAACCAGGACTAATCTGAAATAAACTGATACTTGTTTCATAACTTAAATTAAAACAACTAGGCTGCAATAATAAGCTTTACATTAAACCCAAAATGAGGAAAGAAAAACCAGTGAATATCCAGTGTTTCACCAATTCCGGCGCACAAATACACAACATTGGGCAATCTGCTGGTACTATGTCATCAGCTGTCAGTGGCAACCATGTTAATTTATCGCTGATTGATCTCTCATCTAATTCCCATGAGGAAAAATCAAAAGCAAAATATTAATTCAACAAAAAGTACTGTATTTGACAGCATATAAGACTCACCCTTATTTAGAAGGCCACACACATGTAGATGTAGAAAAAGTTATGTATGTCTAGACCTTTATCCAGGCTAAAAATAGCATTCAGTATTGAAAGTTAACCTGTGTCCTTCACATATAAGACGCAGGTAACATTTTTGAGACCAAATTTAGGAAAAAAGTGTGTCTTATATGCCGTCAAATACGGTACTTCATTTATAGATAAATCATGAGCAACACTGTTCTGAAGTCTTGTAAAGACTGCTTTTGCCCTATCATGTAGTTAAATAACAGAAGCTTGATCCATAATAAGTAACTGAAGTATCCAAGCTTAAAATGAAAACAGTACAAATATATATATATAAACTTCAAAGTTTAATGAAAATTAAAATGCATTTATCTGTCTTTTAACTGCTGATGCCTCCAAATCTTTACTAGTTGTTAATCAAATGACACGGAAATACAAATGATCACTTTGTTTTTGATATTTCCTTAATAAATTCAATTACTCCCATTTCATACATAAAACTCTAAACACATAATAATTAAATATCCATACATCTAACAATAATCAAATAACATAATTCAATTAAAAGTAAGTATTAAAATAATTAATGGTCAGCTGTATTCTAGTGACTGAATTCTATGGACAACTTGAAAGCATATTACCAACATAGAGCAACGACAATTTGTAAACTAATTATGAGAGGGGGTTTTTCTCTTGATTTATATATATATGTTTAGATTCTTGGAAATCTGAATGTAATAAATGGCTGAGTTTATTAACCAATAAGTTTAATAAGTGGTGGGTACTGTAAGAAGTTTTTAAAACCTGTTACTTAAAAAAAAAAAAAAAAAAAAAAAAAAAACTCTCAACATTGAACTGTTAATGGCAAATACATGGCACCAGATAAGAAAACAAAAAAGATCCTGTTTGAAATTATATGTTCTAATAGAAAGGAATCACTGAACTAAATATAAACACATGTTTCAAATTGTTTGCTGGTAAAAATGAAAAATAATTTTGACTAATGCATTCCTTAAATATACAAGATATATTTAAATAATTTCTTCTTATAGTGTGAAATTGTTTTTTTATTAAAAAATAATATTAATACATGTAAATATTAAACCTGAAGATTTGATACAATTTGTATTTGCTGCATAACAAAGGCATTATTAATTAATCTTATTACAGCTAGAATCTCCTAGCAAACAAATTGTGTTTAAAACAATCATTAAAAATACTATGTATCCTTAAATCATTAAAACGTTTTACCTATTCTTAAATCAAGCTCCCTGCGGACATTCACTGCATCATTCATACGTTCATCTGGGGGGCCAAGATTAGCACATGCTCTGTGAATGGCCTGGGATGTAATTTCAGAAAACCTAGCACGAAATACTTTTAAGCTTGGTTGAACTGAAAAAGGGGGAAAAAAAGTTACATAATTATTTTTCCCAAATAGACCATTAGACATATAAATAATTCCCGAAAGACACATAAAGAAATAAAAATAATGTAGGCTGTGTTCTTCAAAATGGGTTTTTTGAGGTTTTTTTTTTTTTTTTTTTATATGAAATTACAGAATATTTTTATTGCTGTTCCTGATTGCTCCTCCCTGTCTAGCATGGGAAAAAATATGCTAAAATTTGCCAATATTGCACCAAAAATGATTGCTATGGCTATAATTGGGAAAATACATTTCTTCCCATGATTGCAAGAAGGATATTTGATTATAATTATTCTTTAAGTGTTAGCTTGGCTTTGTTTAAAGTTTTTTTTTTTTTTTTTTTTTTTTTTTTTTTTTTTTTTTTTCCCTACAGCTTTAAATATGGGCTTAGTGTTGCTTAATTAAGTTTTGTTAACAATGTTAAGTTTGTTAAAGGTCTATTTGGAAAAAATGTTAACAATGCATCTGGATAAGGCACAGTGATAAAAGACAATGTAAACCGCTGGTTCACATACATGGCAGTTAAGTTCAGGCAGATTCACAGAAATATTCTTCTATAGATCATAGCAACATACTTAAAGCTGACATGAGCTTGCAAGATCCGAGGAGTATACTATAGGGTTATAGTTGACTGTCTGGATGTTCTTAGCATAAGGAATGAATTTTATCAATGCAATAATCCATCCATCTTCCCCCCCCCCAAAAAAAAAACTGGTAGAAGGTAGCCTCTACTTTTCTGCAATCTCAACTTTGTGCCAACAACTGAATAGATCCCATCATAATGAAGGAAAGAAAATGGGGTCTCTTTCTTAATACGAAATCCATGTAAAATTAAACTGAAGAATTATTGAAACTGAAGACTGTATTCTTCAGCAATACATAGTGAGAAAGAATTAAATTAGTGGTAAAAAACTACTTTTTGCTTTATAATAGCAGATATGTAAAATACACACACAAATATATATATAAATCAAAAACCAAAGATTTAACTTAATAATTACGTTAATTTGCATTTTTTACATTTGGGCATATGAGTTTTGTTCAAAAATGCAAGAGAGATGAAACACGGTCGACCTGAAGTGCTTGTGATTTTATAGAAATAGACTAATTCCCCTTGAAAAGTTTAGATCTTTCTAAGGAACTGGTAACAATTTTTCTTGTAAAATATTATTATTATTATATTTAAAATGTCTCACTAAATAATATACATATTACACCTTTCATTTTCCACAATACATATAAGCTTTACTAAATTTTACATTTTTTAAAATATCCCATTGCATTTATATTTCACTTTAAAAAATACACCATTTCATTAGTATTTTATCATTTCTTAGGTAATAACCAAATTAAAATTATTAAAAATACATATACATACACATTCAAACTATAGATAATAAAAACAAGCATAAAAGTGTTAAAGATATAAGCTGATATTATCAATCAAAAACAGTTAAAAAATACCTTTTTTGCAAACATCAATAATTTCAAACCCAATATTTTCTCCTTCTCTATCACAATCAGTCCAAATAACGAGGTAATGACACTTCTTTGCTTCAGCTTCCAGTGTTGCCTAAATAATAAGAATACTAATACAGTAGAAATCCAGAAATCCGCAAAGCTTGGGACCAGAGGTTGTGTGGATTTTAGGATTTTGTGGATTTCAGGACAGAAAAGATAAATCATAATATTCAGACTAAAAGTGCAAAATAAATAAGGCGTAATAGATACATTTAATTAAATTATTATATACATTATTGCAATAACTTATTATATGCATTAAATTATTATTACATATATAAATTGATTATGTTATTCATTGCATTATATATACACAGCATCGAGGTTTGCCGATTTCGCCTCATGCAAAGATTTCCGGTTTCGGATTCCGGTATTAGAATCACTGTTGCTGTAAAAGTTCAACAGCTTTTTTTTATTTTTCCGTATATTGTACACTATCGTGTTGCAATTCCATACGATTCTGCTATAAACTGAGGAGTAGCACCTGCCTTCATCTTTTGCGAAATTTGGGCTAATCTTTGAAATATGGTAACAGGTAGTTTGGCGACATTTTGGTAAGGCGATAAAGGTTACTAGCTAGGACTTTAGCAGTGTACATGGATAAAGTCATCAAAAGTGTGTGCAATGCCATTTTCGTGCAATTCTGGGATGGTTTTTTAAGTGAAAATAGGTCGACGTGTACATGGATACCGTGTATGTGCAATTCTTAAAAACGCGGCAAGCAGTGGGCGATTCTGCACTTTCTCCCAATTTTGCACCTAATCTTCGTCATGATTAAGCACTTTTGTTCCATAAAAGTTCTAGAATAAGCGTAATTCGGCTAGCAGATTGTTGGAAAAAATGTTGAGTAAAAAAAAGCCTTTACTTCGTGAAAACAAAATGGCGTCTAAAACAAAACTAGCAGGTTGCTGTAGCAGGGTTGGTCGCCAAATTTCACCAAAAAGTCGCCAAGTTACCATAATCCAAAGATTAACCGGAATTTGCACTTTTGCTTTACCGTCAATGCAAAGTGTTTATGTTTTTCAACGTTGCAAGCAGTAAAATCATGAGTGCGTTTCTTATCTGTAATTGCATTAAAAAGGGCTGAAATTTAAAATATTCTTAATTTATCCACAAAATATCCGGATAAGTAAAAGGCAGCACTAAATAATCTCGTGAAATAACAAAGCTCAGAAAATACAACATCTTGAAACTTGAACCTGAAAGAAGAGTTGAGTCGTCTGCTTTCTTAAATCGATGCAGATTAGAGGGAAAAAAACTTTCACCATGAAGTCAATAATTAGGTATTTCCATTATGATTCATTATTATTTGGTAATTATGACGTCATTATTCAGTATTTTTTCTTCCATATTTCATACTCAATGTTGCGGTTTCCGGAACGTATAAACTGAATCTTTATATTTTGAGAGGCAATGAGGATTAGAGGTTGGTAGATTTTTGGTATTTGACTGTAATAACAAACCTTCTCCCTAAATTTCAGATTTAAACACTATCTTATCAAAAAATATATCTATTTGAAATTCAAAATTCCCTTACACAGATGAAAATAATAATTTTTTATGAAGTAACCAATCAATCTGACTTAACAAAACTAATAATTTAATTTCACCAGTTTGCTTCTCAAATGCAAATCATTGCATGATGTCATTTAAAGTAGCTGCATTTTGCACAAAACATATTTCCCCGTGAATTTCTGCAGTTCAGGATTTGATTTAATCAAGATGCCAAAGTATCGTTTGGAAGGGTCTCCGAGGTTAAGACCTGTTTACCACTCTGAAGGTAAAGATTCAGAAACTGGGACAAGCCATAGAAGTAAATATTAAAACTATATTTGCTTAAATATTCTCCTCCTAGCTTTTCAGTGCTAAATTCTGAAAATTTAAAAAATATTCACATAATTTTCCCCTTCCTCTACCACACATAGTTTCTCTTTCTGAGGGCTAGTTTATTGGTAAATTGTATTATCTTGATTGTATTTACTTTTGTTCAGGGAATTTACTTTGTATTAGCATTTCATCTATTTTATTTTCCCTCGCATTTACCAGGTGTACAAGTATGAAATTCAAATTTCAGGCAACAGATGGCTTCCCAATGAATTTTGTACTATAAAGATTTGACACTGTGCCGTCAACAAGTGAGAAATTGGAAATGTGTTTGATTTATGTTCAATATGTCGAAATTCATACCAAACAAAGAGCATTTGTAGACAGCATTAATTTTTTTTTTCTTTTTTTTTCATTTGAACAAAATTGCTGTAAAATCATACCAATTACTTCTAGAAGCTTATGGTAAACATGCTCCATCGCAAGACATGCGTGAAGGATGGTTTCGACGTTTCAAAAGTGGTGACTGATTTTGCAGACAAGGAACGTAGAAAACTGGCAAAAAGATACGAAGATGTGGAACTGCATATATTGTTGGACAAAAATGATTCATAAACACAAAAACAATTGACCGAGCAATTGGGCATTAGTCAACAAGCTCTTTCCCATTGGCTACAAGAGATGGGAAAGCTTTAGAAGACTGGTAGATGAATACCACATCAGTTGAACAATGGGCAAATGGAAAAGCGCATAAACACATGTGACATCTTGCTTGCTCAGTACAAAAGGAAGTCATTTTTGCATCATAGTTATAGGAAATGAAAAGTGAATTTATTCTGAGAATCCAAAGTGCAAAAAATCATGGTAAACCCAGGTGCTCCATTCACAACAACCGCAAGACCGAATTGCTTTGGAAGAGAGACGATGCTCTGTGTTTGGTGGGTCCAGGGCAGCTTCGTCTACTAAAAACTGTTAAAACCTGGGTAAATAGTTAATACTAAATATTACCAATAACAATTGGCCAATTTGAACTGTTCGCTGCTTGAAAAAAGGCCAGAATACCGAAAGAGGCAACACAAAGTCATTTTTCTTCATGACAATGCTCCATTACATACGGCACAACCAGTTCGCAACACAATGGAAACATTCAGCTGAGAAGTTCTATCTCATGCAGCTTACTCACAAGACCTGGCTCCATAAGATAATCATTTGTTTGTATCGATGGGTCACAGACCTGCTTAGCAGCACTTTGGTTCATACGAAAATGTTTCGACAAATGGTTCACAGCAAAAGGGCAAGATTTTTTACTGGCATAATATTCACAAATTGTTCATAGGATCGAAAAAAAGTATAACAAGTGATGGAGCATACTTCGAATAAAGCACACTTTATTATTCTTCCAAATTTAACATTGTTTTTATGACAAAAAGTCTGCATTTCATACTTGTATACCTGGTATTACCTGAAATGTATTTTGTACAGATTCTTCATTAAGCTATCCAGACATGGCAGGTGTTCTTACACTTAAGAAACTCTTAAAATATGTAATTTCCCTTCACTTCTATTATTTATATTACAGCTCATTATAGCCTTAACTACTGCTGATGTGTTTGAGCTTTCAAAATCCAGGTCTTTTGTTCGTTTCCCTCTCCGCAATTCCTTTGATGTCCCTATTTAAAACTGCGGTCATGGCTCATTCATGTGAGGTACTCTTGGGGCTTTTACAAGGTAATTGAGCTGGGCATGTTGCAAACTCAACTACCATCAGACACTGTAAAGTTAATATTACAATGTAGGTTTCTTTAAAAGAAATAATATAGTGAGAGTTATCAGATCCATGACTAATTTTCATTTGTTACATTCTTTTGTTACATTCTTACTGTAACTGCATTATTCGTAAATTAAATTACTTAAGTAATATTTCCTTTTTCATTTTTAGATAGTAAAATTAGTTAGAAAAGGGGAACATATGAGGAAAAACCATATTTCTGAAGTTCAATTTCTATCCATAACTGTCAGCTGCAGTAGGAATTTAACTACTAGTCTTATACTTGCAGTTACCATTGAAATTTTTGTATCATGGGCATGCAGGCATCATGGGTATACAGGCATGCATAAGGCAGCCTTTATGTCAAAAAGTCGATTGCTTTACTGGCCTCACAACAGAAAAATGTTCTCTTCAAATGGCATATATAATAACAGAGCTGAAGTCTATAACTGATTAATAAATATTCAAATAACATTGCCAATAAAAATTAAACGCTGAGTACATTTTTAGAAAAACTGAAGAACAGAATAAGAAAGTATACGCAGTTGAGATTAATTGTTAATTAAAGGATATTTATGAAGCGGTTTCAATATTTTATAAAAATTAAGTATGTTTAGAGAAATCAAGTTTTTAAAATTGTAGTCTTAAAGTAATGTTTAATTTTTTGGCCTCCAAAATACAATGACCATAACCGGATTTGTTTTTAAAATAAATGTAAATTTCAACTCTATTCAGTTATGAATTATTGCACAAATTAAGTTTTATTTCATGTGAATTCAGTTCCCCCCATATGATTAAATAAGCATCTAATTCTACTTTTCTTAAACTTCAAATCTGTGTTTACATTAAATCCCTGTTTATAATCAGCACCTTATAATTGATTCCTTCCCTATTTCCTTTGGTGAAAAAGCATGCTTGCATAAAAGCAATATGAGTCTCTGAACTCATATTTCACACATTATTTCCATATAAAGGACTTCCATTCTGTCTTAAACATTGCAACAACATACGGGAAGTAAAAAGTGAGGATTTATTAGCATGTAAAAAGTATTCATATATTCAAACAAATGCAAAATTTGGGTAGCATTTTCTTAATTGGTTTAGCCAGTTTTTGGTTGATGACTGACATCATTTATCTTGCAGGGTGCATCTTGCAAAATGACCGAGTGTAACTTTTAATGTAATAAGAAACAGAAAATTTAATATGGGTCACAAAGGTAAAGAAATGAGCGTTTCCAAAAGAGAATTAATCTTAAAGCTTCATAAAAGTGGTAAATCATACAATGAAATTTCAGTTTTAATTGGCAGACCACAATAAACTGTACAGTTGATTATTCAAAAGTTTATTACCTCTAGAACAGTGTAAAATAGTTCTCACTTAGGACTATCATATCTACATACATCCGTTCACAATTGATTTCTGGCACATTCATGGAAGGAAGATCCGAAAGTAAATGCACCTAAGCTTACAGAAGACTTGAGAAACATGGGAAGAAATGTTTCAATAAGTATAATTTGAAATGCATGCAGAAAACAATGTATAGAACAAAAGAGCAGAAGGTGATTTTTTGGGGGGGGGGAAGTGATTGAGTACAGAAGAAAAGAAACTTTATTGGATGTAATTCAACATAATTATTATAAGTGTCATGTATGTACGAAGGAAATGAGCATGGTTGAACATAAAGATGGTTCAGATGGATTTGAATGGGTTTATCGGAAGAAAAGTTCAAATGCTCACCAAATAAAGCATTCCATTAGAAAGGGAACAGGGTTCGAGGAAAGTTTTTGGATGCTGTTAAGAAATTTTGTGTGCCACAGACTGAATCCACTTACCTTATTTAGAAATTTTGTGTGCCACATAAATTTCTAAATAAGGTAAGTGGATATTTCCTTTGTATATTGCTTATATGGTATAAGATGAACTTCCTTTTTTATGTTATTTCATCGTTTGATTAAAAATGTAGTTTATTGAGATTATATATTTTTTTGTTTGGCTCTAGTGTATAACTGGGTGCTCCTTTGACTTTTTAAATGAAAATAGATTGATATATACATAGACAAGGTCAAGGGAGTGCACAATTCCAAGTTTGTGCAATTCTCTGGTGTTTTTAAAGTGAAAATAGGTCGATGTATACATGGATACCAAGTTTGTGCAAGTCTTTAAATTATTATTTTGGCAAAAAAATCACCGCTTTGTACATGACAGTTAACGCCCAGACAACAAAATGAAAAGAATGACTTGTGCAGTATTCCAAATCAAAAATACTGAAATCCATTACAGAAGGAAAACTATGATTAGATGAAAAATGTAAATGGATGAAATGCAATACCGTTTTCCACCTCCTTCTCCAAATGCTTTAACTTCCAACAAATTGGTGACCATTTTTGCACTTTTGTTCAGTATGCAAATTTCTGTGCTTTGAGGAGGGGGCGACTGCTTCTTCCTCAGTAGACGATAAATACTACAATTAACATTTTACAGTGGAATAAAAATAGAAACAGGGAAACTATGTAGGCTAAAGTAAGAGTGAAAATCAGTTACGCTGCACATTACAAATATATATTTTTAAAAAAAATTACTGCTTCTTTTTTAAATAATCATATATTTAAAATGTAAACATTTTAGAGGAAAAAAATATTGCACCCAGCTTTATAATCAAAAGCCTGAATATCAAACATGCTCCACATTAAAATTCCACTTATTAAGACTAACAATTATGGCAACTCAACTGACCAAAATGGCTGCTTAAAGAAAAAGAAGTACTAGTCACATCTGTGAATTCCTCAGTTGTGTCTACTCACCTAAGTATATTATAAAAATACATAGCATGGTTTTTTAACATATAACATAACTTCCTGTAATTACTTAAAGGGTTACAGTCTTTTCTCCTTAAAGAATTACATGAAACTTATAAGCAAATACTTCAAAGCAATAAACAAACTTCACCTTGATTGGTTGATAATCTTGTAAACATTCTATTACCACTGGAGCATCAAACAATGTAACAGGGTTGCACCACTGCCTAAAATTTAATTTAAAACACTTTCTTTAAAAATGACAAATCTAAATATAATAATTACTACAATAAAAGAATGTAAGTTAGAGATACAGATAAAAATACATTTTTCCCTCTTTTGCAAAGATAATGAGGATTCTAGCATATTTTAAAAGTTATAATGATAAATACATAATATATTTACTGAAACATAAGGCAACCTCCTTGAATATAAAATCTTCCTTATATTTTAGGATAAATTTTAAAAAGTATATGAGAACTGTTATTTTATTTTGCAGTAATTCTGAGGAAGATAATCTTAGTTTATTTTTCCTACAGTAACAGTAGGAACATATTTGTTTTTATGCATATCAGTATACTAGATGCAGACATATTATAATAGTCATGTCAAACTGAAATTGCTCAGTTTGACATGGCTATTATAATATGTGGTAGTTAAGCATTTATATACACCCTACTGGACAGTTTCTAAGGTCAGACAACACAATGAAACAACCACAAAATGAATGGAAGCAAAATGTGAAAAATTAGAATAAGAGTCAGATACAGTAAAAACAGGTGTGAATATGCAAATTTTCATTTCCTTGCCTGCTCATCACATAATAGTATTGCAAAAACATTTAAAGGATTTGACGGATGCAGGCAGTTGTACTAAGTAAAAGTTTCATGAGAAAAATTTAGTTAAAGGTCTTGAAAATTTAAGTATGAATTCCCGACATCACTTAAATGATTTTATATGTAGCCATATCACTAGAAAGATTGAAGAAGGGCAAAAAATAATAGATGTTTCTAGAGACTTTAACATCCCCCCCCCAGTGTTATTTCATGGCTGCCAGAACACATAACCAGCATTGGGAAGACAAAGTTAGATACCGATGCCTTCCCAAGACAGGTACATTGCCCTATCAGCAGAAAGAAACTGGTGCACCACAGCTCAGCAGGTGGCAGCTGAGTTTCTTGCTGCTACAAGACAATGGATTTTCTAAAGAACTATAGCCAGACCATAGAGGTAAGAAAGGAAGGAAGGGCCAACTCCACACTACAAGCGAAACACTGCTCCGAGACTTTAGTCTCCAGATGGGGTGTTTTTTGTTTACATTCAGAAGCTCCCTTGACAGCACTTTGATAGCATTTCAACACACCACAGTTCCATACAAATCGAAAAACGGGACGTTTCCACATAAAAGAAACATTTATCGTAGGATGAATAATAGCAATTTGTATAGTTTAATGACATTTACTCAAAAATCACATCTTGGTTATTTTTCAATAACTAACAACAGCAATCTTAATTATGAATTTGTTTTATAAAATTCTAAGCTGTTGAACTACAAAAATATAGATTTGAAGCAAAAATGTTATGCTTAAAGAATGAAAATACTTTACGGTAGCTTTAAAATTGTATACGTCTTTGAATACGCTTGATAGAGTATTCGCTACTTTTATTTTATGTTCCAAATGCCAAAATGTTTTAAATGAAATAAATTTTTTTTTTGTCATCCATATATTATTATAACATGTACCTTTTTAAACATTTTTAGAGAAGACGCTTTATAGTTGATCATTTTAAACTCATCATTTTATTTTTACATAATTTAAAAATAATCACTTTGGGTTTGCACATTTTACTTATTTGAGTTCATTAAAAAAATGAAACTACAACCAAATGCTGCAATCCTCCTCAAAATTAATAAATATACACACAAATACGCCAATAAGTTAACTTTTCCTTGATTTGTAACCAGACATTTGTGTAAAATTATGTACAGTTTTACACAAATGTGTGAAACAGAAGACGGATACATTTGCGAACTCCGCAAATAAAGCAATATTATGCAGAGTAAGGCAATCAAAATTGCGATCTGATGACAATGCGGTTAGTTTAAATGTGAAATGGATAGTTATTATTTATTATATTATCAGAGAATTATTAAACTGGTTAAAATCGCTAAAAGGGTATTGAGTGCTCTGCCAAAATATATTTCCTAGAAGATTTGAATTTCATAATGAATGTATCCTAAAACGTGTTTTAATCAAAAGTTTGAAGCCTGATGGCTAAATGTAAATATAAAAGTATGTATGTTAAAATATTTGTAATTAGGCATATAGGTAAGTTTAAGTTTTTATTAAATAGAGTAAGAGATGCTATTATGGAAGAATTTCAAAGAAAAGCTGACCTTTGAGTGGGTATAAAAAATAATGCATGTAATTTTCATTCAAATTACATTTATACATATTTCTTGTGTAAAAATTTCAGGTGTATGCTAAATTATTCTAAATCACTTTACTCAAAAAATACAATGAATGCACAAAAATTAAAGTTTGCACAAGCGAAAAATGAAAAATATGAAATATGTATAGGTATTTATGCATATGTTTGCAAGAAGCATGCATCTGCCTTTAACAGAATATGTAAATATTTATTAAATTATTTATAAATGCATTTGGAAATGAAGGATTTATTCATTCATAAACTCCTGTGAAAGAAACTATGAAGAAATCTGGTTATTAAATATATATAAATTTATAATGATTATAAATATTATCTAAATATATAATAAACTTAACATTTAATTGTAAACATAAATTGAAATTCTGCTGACAAATACGTTTATAAAACTATTTAAGCAAGAATTGTTCGTACTAGAAAGCAATCTGTTGAATGGTATTGTAAAGCAAATTCTATGAGATGCGTACTTAAGGAAGTAATAAAGAAGAGTTTTAGACTATGTATTGTTGAAATTAAGGGTAAAAAAATCTGATAAGTATAATTAAAAGAATCATTCCCTTTTTATAACAAATCAGTTACAAGTTTTAAATAACATTTTTTAAAAAATCCTTTTTTATTCCCTTTCAGAATTATCCAGAGAGTGTTAAGTACACGGAAATGAGCAGCAATATTTAATGTATTTCACTTTTAAAATAAAAGGTGGTAAATTCCAATTTGAAATGGACTGAATAGAGCATTAATCGTAAATTGACTTAGATTAACCCTCTCAGCGTTACAGCCGGAAAATTCTGTCAAGAAGGCTGCCTTCTATATTCATTATACATGAAAATTTCTGCTAGCTTTTAATGTAACTGATTTCGGTTTGGGTGTATATTGGAAGAAAAGGATTCAAGGTACAAAATGAAAGAATAATTTTTTAATTAAAATCAAGAAAATACCACTTATTCATCACATTTTGAGGGACTTTGAAATTTTCGGGCTGAACCCGTAACGCTCCGGAGGGTTAAAGATGCCTCAGAAGCTAAAAAATTGTCATATTTGAGACAGTATTTTAGTAAGAAGCTTTATATATAGAAACGAAATAAAGCATAATTTTAACATTAAAAATACAATATATTTTTATCTTAATTTTTGTAATCTTGATCTGAATAAAATCAAATTACCTTAATTTTTTTTCAATACTATTCGGTTTCGAGGGCCGTAAAAAAATTGCAGTGAAAATGTATGCGCAAAAGCGCCAAATCTAGCAAACGCGCCCATTTAACAGTGCGCCAAATCTAGCGTACGCGCTGATTTCAGATTGAATAAGTTTTATATAGTTCTATATTTCTTAAGATGCCATTGAAATACTAGTTTCATTTTTAAATCCTTTTTTGATATCATATGGATTTACCAATTTGGGAATTGCTCATGACGAAAATTCGGCAATAGAATTTTGGGTAAAGTGCAGAATCACCCACTGCTTAACGCGTTTTTAAGAATTGCACATACTCGGCATGTGCACATCGAAACTATTTTCACTTTAAAAAAAATTCTAGAATTGCACAAAAATGGCACTGCGCAAACCCTTGGCTTTATCTATGCACACATCGACCTATTTTCACTTAAAAAGTAAAAGAAAAGAAAAAAAAAAATAAAAAAAATGACAAAAACCCAATTGTTTTTAACCTTGTAAAAAAGCGGTAAAGCAAATAAGTGAGTGATTCTGTTGCACTTTACCGAGAATATTTTCAAAGAAAAGGCATCATCATTATAGAAAATTACGTTTGAAGCAACCAACGAGATAAAATTATGCTTTAGTGATAAACTCAGTAGTGAAATAGCGATGCAGGACATCCATTCAGTTATGCTTAGCAATTTTTATATAAATTATAATAATGATCTGAAATAGCTATTTACTCTTATGCTTCCATTCAGTTCATGTTTAGCGTTTTTTCATATAAATTATAATAATAAAAAAGTTTATATATGAAATTAAACTTTCATTCTAAATTAAAACATCAATCTTGTATAGTTATTTACTATTATACTTCCTTTCTTGCCGCAATTATTTTTTGGCAGCATTGGTATCAACAATAGTTTGGCGATTTTTTACGGCCCTCGAAACCGAACAATACCATTTTTTCTAATGTAATTAACAAAAACTTGGGGTAGAGTAGACTTTAAGGTACCCCTAGTATTATGGCGAAGTTGTTGTTTCATTTATGGTAGCCTGAGTAGTTGAATGTTATGCAAAGCCTATTGTGACGTAATCGGGTGCATGATTCTGGGAAATTTCGAATCATGGGATGTTTTGTAAGCGTTTTTGTGGTGTGTGTTGGTATGATTCTTTAGACGGTAGAATGGCCGAATGTAGTAAGATTAATTTGAAGTTTCTTGCCGCAATTATTTTTGGCAGCATTGGTATCAACAATAGTTTGGCGATTTTTTACGGCCCTCGAAACCGAATAATACCATTTTTTCTAATGTAATTAACAAAAACTTGGGGTAGAGTAGACTTTAAGGTACCCCTTAGTATTCTGGCGAAGTTGTCGTTTGAATTATCGCCAAGTTGTTTAATTAATGGTAGCCTGAGTAGTTGAATGGTATGGCAAAGACCTATTGTGACGTAATCGGGTGCATGATTATGGGAAATTTTCGAATTCATGGGATGTTTTGTTAAGCGTTTTTGTGGTGTATGTTAGTTATGATTCTTTAGACGGTAGTAGAATGGCCGAATGTAGTAAGATTAATTTGAAGTTTCGTACAATTTGGAGCGAAAGGGGAAAAGAGCTTT